TAATTAACATGCTTAATTCTGCTTCTGTAAACTGCTTTTTTGCGAACCAGGTTCCTCATTCCAAACCCTGGGATGTAATCAATACCTTTGTGATTTTTGCCTATATACACCTGGTTTTTCGACCATCTTGTTACTATGAGATTTGGGAAAGCAAAATGGCCCCTCATAGTCCCGGATTTTGATAAATGTGACTCTTTAATTTGACTTTTTGAGGCATCCTTCTGTGATTCGCTGGGTACATTACAACATTTGGAGGCCCCAGTGAGATGCAGACCATTAGGGGTGCTGTTTTGGACACAAAGGGAGGCTGAACCTCCCCTGAGCAGTTTGTGGAGACTGAGGGGTCTCTCTAGGGGGTGCACACCCTGAGAAGTTCCAGGGTCCCAGAGAACTCCCCTTCAGATCCAGGTAGTGGACAGGGGACGTTGGCTCGTCCCTAACAAAAATTTCATCGTATTCACCTGAAAATCCTCTAGAGGTAAGTTCTGGGACCAGTCACTGGTGGTGGACTCAAAAGAGGGCTGGACGCAGCGGAACCTCGGAGTCCGACCACCCGGATGAGACGGTGTCTGGGGGTCCTGGTCTGGGCAACCTTAGGTTGCATTTGTCTGGTTTGTTTTGTCTTTGTTCTTTGTTGTCTTTGTCAAAATGGGTGAGGAATTGTGTGAATGGATTACTGATGTAGGTTATCAAGGATCTCTAAGGGACTTGTCCTGTATCTGGAAGAATGGCTTCTAGACGGTATTCACAGTCTCTGGGACTTCCAGAGGGAAGTCAAAACTCAGACTGGCTAAGGGTTCGAATCTGGCCTATCTTTTAAAAAAGGTAGAAGAAAAGCATTCTTAGGCAGTTTTCTACTGCCTCTGTTCAGGGACTTGTTCTGTATCTCGGCACAATTGAAACTGATTTGGTAGTATTTTGTGGTGTAAATGTGGCGCACGCTGGTTTAAAAGTGTTTTTAGGTTTGTTTCTGTTTTGTTTTGTTTTCTTAAAAAAACCTTCTAAACATCTCCTGAATTTCCGTGGTGATTCAAAGTTTTTAATGGGGAATGTTATCTGTCTTTATTGTTTAAATA